CAAAACCGGTTTGGCTCAGTGGACTAGAGCATCAACCTGCGGACTGAAAGGTCCCAGGTTCAATTCCGGTCAAGGGCATGTACCTTGGTTGCAGGAACATCCCCAGTAGGAGGTGTGCAGGAGGCAGCTGATTGATGTTTCTCTCTCATCAATGCTTCTAACTCTCTATCCCTCTCCCTTTCTCTCTGTAAAAAGAAATCAATAAAATATATTTTTTAAATATCACATTGCTCAACACCAATGATGAAAAGAAAAATCTTTTAAGTAGTCAGAAGAAAAGAGACACAGTATACACAGGAATAAACATAAGGATTACAAAAGATTTCTCATCAGAAACAGTGTAAGGGAGAAGATAGTAGAGCAACATCATTAAAGTACTCACAAGAGGGGAAAATCCTCTCAATTTATAATTCTAGACTGAGTGAAAATATTTTTAAAAATAGTTAAAATATATTTTTCATATATAAAAGGTTGAATTTTTTATCACCAGCAGATTTGTAGTGTAAAAAATATTAAAAGAAGTCCTGCAAGCAGAAATAAAATTTTTCCAGATAGAAAGAATGATCTATGCCAGTGATGGCGAACCTTTTGAGCTTGGCGTGTCAGCATTTTGAAAAACCCTAACTTAACTTTGGTGCTGTGTCACATATAGAAATATTTTGATATTTGCAACCATAGTAAAACAAAGATGTATATTTTTTATATTTATTTTATATATTTAAATGCCATTTAACAAAGAAAAATCAACCAAATAAAACGAGTCCGCGTGTCACCTCTGACACACGTGTCATAAGTTCGCCATCACTGATCTATGCCAAGAAATGGAAAACACCAAAGAAAGTAAATGCATAGGAAAAAATATAATAGAAGTTTCTTATTATTTAAATATATTTAAAGATAATTAACTATTTAAAAAAATAATAATGTAATGTCAGTTTTATAACCTCTGTGAAAGTAAAATACATGACACCAATAACACAAAGATTGCCCGGGAAAGATGAAATTTTGTTACAGTGAAGTTTCTATACAAGGTGTGAAGTGGTATAATATCCACTTGAAAATAGACCGTGACAAGTTAAAATTCTATATAATAAAGAGCTATAGGCAAATAGTCATCACACCCTCATGCCATCACACCATACTGGCTCAGACACTCAACACTGGGTAGAGAGGAATGGGGCCCAGCCAGGCTCTGGCCTGGGAGAGGGATAAGCCACTCGCACCAGGGTCCCAGGTTCCAGCAGCTGCGCCTGTGCCTCTGGTCCAAGAGAGGGACAAGCCGCACGCCCTGTGGTCCCTGGTGCCTGCAGCTGCAGCCTAGGCAAAGCCACCCACCCACGATCCCCTGTGTCTATGGCTGGCCTGGGTGAAGTTGGCCCGGGTCCTGGGTGCCTGTGGCTTGCCAGAGGGAGGGAAGCCCAGGTTCCGAGTGCGGAGCGAGGAAGAGGCAGTTAGGGGCAATCAGGCCAGCAGGGGAGCAGTTAGGGGCAATCAGACAGGCAGGCAGAGGTGGTTAGGAGTGATCAGGCAGGCAGAGGTGGTTAGCGGTGATCAGGAAGGCAGGCAGGTGAGCAGTTAAGAGCCAGCAGTCCCAGATTGCGAGAGGGATATGCCTAAACTGGCAGTCAGACATACAGGAAGGGGTCCCTGATTGGAGAGGGTGTAGGCTGGGCTGAGCGAACCCCGCTCTATGCACAAATATTGTGCACCGGGCCACTAGTCAGTAATAAATCTATATCTCATATAAAGTAAATACATCTCTATAATGAGGTAAACCTTAAATTCATTGATAATGTTATTTTCAAAAGAACATTCACTGTTTTTTATTTACTTCAATATATTCTTTGCAACATATAGACGTTTTTAAATATCTTGAAGGATCTGTAATGTGCTTTTCCCCATGTTAGAAGTGTATCAGATTAAGGAATTTTCTATTTTTTTTTTTTTTTTGCAGTAGTGGAGATTAATTTCTAGTGTCTCTGCAAACAAACATGACACTTTTAGGAAAATGTTATTGAAGTATACTTTAAAATGAGTTCAGCCAGCATGGATGTCAACCTATGAACCAGGAAGTCACAGTTTGATTCCTGGTCAGGGTATATGCCCAGGCTGGGGGCTCATTCCCTAGTGTGGGGCATGCAGGAGACAGCCTATCGATGATTCTCTTCATCATTGATGTTTCTTTCTCTCCCTCTCCCTCTCCCTTCCTCTCTGAAATCAATAGAAATGTTTTAGAAACAAACAAGCAACCAAAAACTGTTAACTTGTTAAAAAAATAAAAAAAATAAAATGAATCAGTATGTAAAAATAATTCCCCATAACTGTGTATCTCCTGCCTTTATTTTATTGGATATCATAAATGTGCATTTTGAATGTTTATATAAAATGCCTCTGAGTCATGCAGAATTTTCTTTTTCTGAAGGACAGTGTAATGGGGTTGAATATATTGTCTCAATATATTTAACTTAAGTGAATTTAGAACAAAATTATTATTAGTGTTCCTTGGAATGAATTATGGCTAAATTTATCTTAATTTCTTGATGTTGTTTTGTCACCTCTTCTTTTTCATACAAGTAAAGCTCCTCTTGGTTCATATGATTAGGTCAGTTGGAGTTTTATTTGTGTTTTTTAGTTAAGGGATAAAGACTGATCATCTAGAGCAGCGGTTCTCAACCTGTGGGTCACGACCCCTTTGGGGGTCGAACTACCCTTTCACAGGGGTCGCCTAAGACCATCGGAAAACACATATATAATTACATATTGTTTTGTGATTAATCACTATGCTTTAATTATGTTCAATTTGTAACAATGAAAATATATCCTGCATATCAGATATTTACATTACGATTCATAACAGTAGCAAAATTACAGTTATGAATTAGCAACGAAAATAATTTTATGATTGGGGGTCACCACAACATGAGGAACTGTATTAAAGAGTCGCAGCATTAGGAAGGTTGAGAACCACTGATCTAGAGACTGGATTTTGGTTTGTTTGCTGCTATCCAACAGAACAGTACCAATGATACCAATGGTGGTATCATTGTTACTATATTTAAACACCCATGGTTGGCAAGAACGTGCTAAAGTCTGAATATAACATAGTAAACTATATCACTGTCCCTGCCCAGAACACCTGTTACTGAAAGGACATACTAACTTGATGAGGAAGATGGCAGATGTGATGGTTTGGAGCTAAATGCTACTTCATTCCTGACTCACACAGAAAGAGCTTTAGGATGTTGGCTCTGTATTCTAAAGAGTATCTAGCAGTTTTCATCTTGTATATTAACTTTACACATTTTTATTAAAAGTGTATGCTTATTATTGTATCTCTTTTTAGTTTTCCTCACGGGAGGAAAAGCAAATACGGTACTAAAACGCTACCCAAGAGCTAATGGACTTTTTGAAGAAATAAGACAGGGAAATATTGAGCGTGAATGCAAAGAAGAATTCTGCACATTCGAAGAAGCAAGAGAAGCTTTTGAAAATAATGAAAAAACTGTAAGTATGTTGGCAGTTTAAAATTTTTTTTCACAGATTTGCCTACCTTTGTGATATATGTTTGAAATCTGCATTCCCAAACGGTATGCATTGCTAGCAATTAAAAGTTACCCTTGTGAAGAACTCTGAAAGTGGCATCTAACAAACTACTGTATGGATTGAGGGCTAGATTCACATCCCTGTATGTTGGCCTATCTGTGCAGGTCTCCTTTCCATAGGACTCTGCTGAACTGACATTTGTCCTCTTAGCAAGGGGAAGCAAGTGTTTGTTTCATAGGAAGCATTCAGGGAAAGTTATAGTTGACATCATCCCCTTACTCTGTCTAATCAGAGAGAAAGTGTGGAGGAAGCTAATAGATACTGACACTAATTTAAATGGTTTACTTCTCCTACCAAAGAAAATACTTACCTGAACTCCTCTCCCCACTCTGTGAGAACAGTCCTCTTCACCTCTCTTTACACTAGTCCACAGGCTATTTAAGGAGAGCAGGGATGGGAAAGCACAAGGCAGCGGTATAAATTCTATAGAACTGCTTTGAACTTCTAAATTGCATTGCAGGAGGTAGCCATTATATAAAGATGCATTCCTGTGTACCATGAAAATAACACTTGATACTAAACAAGGGATGTCAGATGTGTTAGAGGGACATGAAATTTTATCTCAGAAGTAAAATTTTATGGCTGAAGTTTTAAGGATAGGGGCTTTTATCTCGATAGATAGAGAGGAACCCAGGGGTAAAAGAGCTCAAGGTCTAAGAGCTCAAGGTTGTTCCTAAGTATTATTCTGTTACTGTTGTAAATGGAATGTTCTTTTCCATGGTTATTACGGATTTGTGTAAGCTACTGAGTTTTTAAACCTTATCTATATATACAAAAGCCTAAGCGACCAAACAATCGAACGACCAGAACGACCTGAATAACTGGTCGCTATGATGCACACAAACCACCAGGTGTAAGACGTTCAACGCAGTAGCTGCCCCCACAGTGGGAGTGCCACTCAGCTGAACTACCCGTCTCACTGGCCCACCAGCTCGGTGCCAACCACTCACTCCCTCCTGCAGGTCCAATCTTTGAAGAAGATGGACAGGCACTGAAGGACTGGCTCTGCCGGCATGGTCCTGACAGCACTGATGGGCTCTTGAAGTCAGCCTCAGGCACTGCAGCTGCTTCCCCTCCCTAGATGCTCCACAAGGAAAAAACAATATAAAAGTGGCCACCAGGTGGTTCCTGACAAGCAGCGCTAATGTCAGTGGGACAGATCAGGATTCTGGGCCAGCAAGGGTGTCCCATGACCTGTCTGGGGAGCCAGTTTTGTCCCAACCCTCCCCTACCCCCCTCAGCACCCTACCCATGCATGAATTCGTGCACCAGGCCTCTAGTTGAATTATAATTGACACTAAAGGCCTAATGCACAAAATTCCCTCAGCCTGGTCTGTGCCCTCTCACAATCCGGGACCCCTCACTCCTAACCGCCTACCTGCTTGCTCCTAACCACCTGCTTGCTCGCTCCTTACTGCCTGCCTGCTCACTCATAACCACCCGCCTGCTCGCTCCTTACCACTTGGCTCGCTGCTCCTTACCGCCCGCCTGCTCACTCCATACCACCTGCCTGCTTGCTCCTTACTGCTTGGCTCACTACTCCTTACCGCCAGCCTGCTCACTCCTTACTGCTTGGCTCGCCACTCCTTAGTGCTGCCACGGAGGTGGGAGAGGCTCCCACCACTGCTGCTGTGCTCGCCAGCCATGAGCCCAGCTTCTGGATGAGCGGCACTCCTGCTGTGGGAGTGCACTGACCACCAGGATGCAGGTCCTGCATTGAGCGTCTGCCCCCCTGGTGGTCAGTGTGTGTCATAGCAACCGGCTAGTCTGGTCGTCCGGTTGTTCCACCATAAAGGTTGCTGAGCTTTTATATATGTATACATATATATACCATTAACCATGCATATTTCATGTATACAATTTGGTAAATATATATACTAGAGGCCCAATGCATGAAATTCGTGCAAGAGACTCGGCCTTTGCAGCTGAGGGACCCTCGGCTCTCGCAGCCCTGGCTTCATCTGGAAGGTCATCCAGACGGTCGCCCAGAAGGTTGGACGGTTGTTCTGCTGTTCAGTCTAATTAGTATATTAGTTCTTTATTATATTGGATATGCACTGAGTGGCCAGATTATTATGACCTCCTGACATTTGTAGGCAAATTAGCTATAATTTCACGCTGAAGTTGCTAGAGGGCCAGACCATTATAAATAGTGAAGCAGGTTGTTTACCATGACAGTAGAAGTGATTATTTTCTGAAGACATGGGTAAACAACGCGATTTAACAGCCTTTGAACATAGTATATATTTGAACGTGAGTGGCCATATTATTATGACTACCCCATCAGTACTTCCTTGGGCCACCTTTTGCCTTCAATACTGAGGTGATTCTTTTTGGCATTGACTCCACGAGATGTTGAAAGGTGATGCGAGGAATCTGACACCATGCCTGATGAGTAGCACTGTCCAGTTCTGTGAGATTTGATGGTTGTGGAACCAGCTGCCTGATGGCTCTTTTAACTTCATCCCACAATGCTCAATTGGATTGAGATCTGGTGATTGTGGGGGCCACCTAAGCAGGTAAAGTCTCCCTCATGTTCTTGAAACCACTCCTGCACAATACGAGCACTGTGGCATGGTGCATTGTCTTGTTGGAAGAAGCCATCTCCATTGGGATACGCCATCAACATGGTAGGATGAACTTGATCAGCAATGATACTTAGGTATGTTGTGCTATTCAGATGTTGTTCCACATGAATTAAAGGGCCCAAATCATGCCAGGAAAACATGCCCCAAACCATAACACTGCTCCCCCCAGCTTGAAGGTTTGTACTCATGCATGTGGGGTACATGCTTTCATGCTGTTTCTGCCAAATTCTCACTCTGCCATCTGCATGATGCAACTGGAAATGTAATTCATCGGACCACATGACTTTTTTCCAATGCTCGACTGTCCAATCCTTGTATTCCTGTGAGAATTGGAGGCATTTTATTTTAGTAACTGCAGACAGCAAAGGTGTTCGAACAGGCCTTCGGCTTCCATATCCCATATGATGCAGTATATGGCTAATTTGTCTACAAACATCAGGTGGTCATAATAATCTGGCCACTCATAATAATATATATCCCACATTCAAAGGCTGTTAAATTGCATTGTTTACCCATATCTTCAGAAAAAAATCACTTCTACTGTTGTGGTAAACAACATGCTTTCCTATTTATAATGGCCTGGCCCTCTAGCAACTTCAGCGCAAAATTATACCTAATTTGCCTACAAACGTCAGGTGGTCATAATAATCTGGCCACTCAGTGTATATGAAACCATCACCACAATCAAGATAGTAAACAAATTCATCATCCCCAAAAGTTCGTTCTTGCTCCATATAATTCCTTCTTCTCACCTGTCTCCACAAACAGCATCCCCAGACAATGATTGATCTGATTTCTGTCACTATCGATTCATTTATATTTTCTAGAATTTTCTATAAATGAAGTCATACATTATGTACTCTTTTGTCTGACTCCTTTCACTAAGCATTACTATGTTCAGATACATCCATTCTACATGTACCAATAGTTCATTCGTTTTTTAGACATTGGGGTTGTTTCCAGTTTGGGATTATTACAAATAAAGCTGCTATGAACACTTATATACTAGGCCATTAATTTTTAATTAATGAACGATGTATTTATTTTGACTTGAGTTCTAAGAAATCTCATGCTCTAAGTCTAAGTTATACTTTCAAGGATGCATTATGTGTTGTTAAACCTTTTATTTGGAGATTATTATAGATCCACAGAAAATACAGAGAGTCTCCTTGTAACCTTTACCCAGTTCCCCCCAATGGTTACATCTTACATAATTATAGTACAACTAGAGGCCCAGTGTGTGACATTCGTGCACTGGAGTGGAGGGTCCCTCAGCCCAGCCTGTGCCCTCTCACAGTCCAGGACACCTCAGGGGATGTCCGACTGCCTTGGAGGTGGGAGAGGCTCCCACCACTGCCGCTGCGCTTGCCAGCTGTGAGCCCAACTTCTGGCTGAGTGGTGCTCCCCCTGTGAAAGCGAACTGACCATCAGGGAGCAGCTTCTGCATTGAGTGTCTGCCCCCTGGTGGTCATTGTGTATCATAGCAACCGGTCGTTCTACCATTCAGTCGATTTGCATATTAGCCTTTTATTATATAGGATATCAAAAAAGAAAACTGACATTGGTACACACTCTGTGTATAATTCTATGTCATTTTATCACGTGTTTATATCCTATAATCACCAGTAGTAATAAAGATGCAGAATTTTTTCACTACCACAAAATTATTTTTTTAATTCTTTATTATTTAAAGTATTACATAAGTCTCCTTTTTCCCCCATTGACCTCTCCCCGGTCGCCCCCACCCCCCAGTACATGCCCTCATCTCCCTACTGTCTGTGTCCATTGGTTATGCTCATATGCATGCATAGAAGTCCTTTAGTTGATCTCTTACCCCCTCACCCCCTTCCTTCCCTCATAGGTTGGACAGTCTGTTAGATACTTCTGTGACTCTGGTTCTATTTTTGTTCATCAGTTTTACAAAATTCTTTCTTAATAGTCATACCTCCCCCTTCCCCAACCCACCATCTCTAACTTTTTGTAATCACTAATCTGTTTCCTTACCTCTGTAATTCTGTCTCTGCAAGAATGTTTTATAAATGGAATCATAATATGACACCTTTTGATATTGGCTCTTTACACTCAGCATTATGCTCTTGAGATTCTCCAAGTTGTTGTGTATATCAGTAGTTCATTTTTTTCATTTCTGAGTAGTATTCTATGGTATGGATGTATCACATTTTTTTAAAAATTATTCACTCCTTCAGGGACATCTGTGTTGTTTCCAGTTTGGGGCTGTTACAAATAAAGCTGCTATAAATATTTATGTACAAGCTTCCATATGAACATAAGTTGTTTTTTTTCTCTGGGATT